TCACAATCTTGTTGGCAATACAGCCATTGTATGGATTGAAAATAAAACCATGTTTATCCATGTCTCCTCTCAACTTTTTGTACCAAAGCATAGAGGCCTCTAACATCCCGTAGATGGCTCGTAATACTCTCATGTAAATCACTTGTTTTCCGTTCTCAATTACAACGTAATCATGATACCTTGGCTCCAGTCGTATCATCATGTCAACCAATAAACCAGTGATCTTCATCATCACTCTTGATTTCGCATCCATTGGCATTTGAGTTTGAATAAATGCATTTGGAATATCCAAAGACATCATCTCTCGTCCTTCATATGCATCAATTACACATGTGATCATAATCACTTCCAATGCTGCAGTCGGACTTGAAGTATCCTCTCAAGAAAGCCATTCTTGAGTTCCATCTCCTTTGTATACACATCTTCCTTTTATTTCACCAGTGTTTTTTTTCTGCTAATAACATCATAGCATCTTGTGCTCTTCTTCTTTCAAATCAGTCATGTCTTCAACATGAATTGGTTCCCAACATTCTCTTTGTATCAATTGGTCAAGTTCTTTCATCACAGCCTTATTGCCTTCATCTTTGAATAATTTCAGTCCCTTATTTAGGTAGTATTGTTGGATAAACGATACTCCTTCATTTTGAACTTTATCCTTGATTTGTTGCATGAATCGCGCAATCAGAGTTGCCTTATCTTTTCCATATTCGGCTTTCTTGTCACTTCCAACCTGTTGGAATAGTAGATTGTATTTCGACTCTTTTTTCGGAATCCTTTTCCTTGAATTTTCCTTCATTGAAATTATTTCATTCAAATAACCTTTCAATTTCTTGACTTTTTCCTTTTTTCTCATTGCACTCCTGTCCTTTAGCAAATTACACTTTGGTTTCTTTTGATTCAGGTGTTGTTGATTATACCTTGGTTGATCCCAATTTTTACGTTCGGTTGGTCTCATTTTTATTTCGTCTTGAACATAAGATTTACCACTCCTGGTTTTCCTTGGACTGAATATGTCCTCTTTATTCACTTCATCATTTTTATAATTATTGTCGTCACTTGATTTGTCCGAATTATCATCAGATTCATCATTTTCATTCTCATTATCATCCAAATTTGCCACCAATTTGCAAACATCATTGACTTGATTTTCACATTCTTTGATTTCATCTTGAATTCGATCAATTAAATTGTCATTTTCCTCATATGTTTTGCGGGTTTCCTCGATTTGTTCTTCATCGTTAAGTGATTTGACATCTTCCTTGTCTTTTTGTATGTCTTCTTCAATTTCTTGAATCTTTTCATTTAAATCTTCATCATTCTGATATTTTTCATTTGGATTGGGATCTTGATCGGAATTATCATCATCATTTCTCCGTCTCAATCGTTCATAAATACCTGCAACACTCCTGTCTTCTGTCTGTTCTTCAACATTTTTGGTGTGCTCATTGTCATAGTTTTCAATAAATTCTTCCGCTTCTTCAAGTAAAGCATCAATTTCATCTTGATCAACCTTTTCATTACGAAGATTCTCATCACTTCGTTTGTATTCATTTTTGCTTGGAATATATGTATCATCCCACAGTTCATCTGGGTCCACTCCTGCGAGCAAATCACCATCCAATATGATTTCACCATTCTTCCAATGATAAGTACGCAAATCACGAACGCCCTTGTCGTGTGCCATTTGTTCCACAATTTTGATCACTTGCTTGGTGATCGGAAGTACCATTACATAGGGTCTCGTTACTGTCTTTTTTGTATTAAGATCAAGTAACATATGTCCCGCTTGTATGCTGTCATTTACTCCAAGATAAATACCATCAATCGTTCTTGATTGTTGACTGTTGTTGGTCGTGTGACCATATCCTTGTACAAAGGATCCAATTTCAGCAACACATTTTTTATGTGGACTGTAATATTTCAAAATTCCCTCCTTTGCAGGATAAAAGTTAATAACCTTTGTCACATGCTTGAGTAAAGCAATAGTCAAAACCTTGGGAATTGCCTTGAACACCATTTGATGATAGTGTGCTTGGAAAAATCCTTTCAATGTTTGATTGCTGTGCTCAATAGTTGATTCGTGTTTGCCCGGCGCGGCATAATTCATGGTCACATCCATATTATCTTTCACGTCATCAAATACCGGTTGGAACTTGTTGTCGCAATAAATAGTTTTGATTCAAAATTCCGCATGATTATAAATGCGTGAAATTTTGTCAATCGACTTGTAAATAGCATCTTTCGTCCGATCTTTCAGTTCAGTACAGAATGGGAATTTGATCGCTTTGTCAATACTGACAAAAAACGCGACATTGTTGATAAACATAATGTCAATGCATAAATCCAGGTTCGAATTGTGTTTCAAGAGTTCCTTGGGCATTTCGATCCAATCATCAACCACCGCCTTTTGTGTTGGTTGCTTTTGTTTGCCCTTAATTGTTGAAACGCTCGGTCCGTATATCTTTTCAGAGATATTAACATCTTCCTCCGTAATTGGACAATTTTTGAAAATATTTCCCTGAATCGCCAACTTGAATAGTTCTGCACCAGGTGCTCACATCATATGATAGCCACTTTGTGCAACATTTGCTCGTTTCACTTGTTTGTTTGTGAAACCCTCTTTGTTCTTCTCCACACTCTGTAGAGCACAGTACCCTTGCACATCATTATTATCAAGTCCACATGCATGGTCATGAAACATTGTTGTTACCATAGCAGGTTCGTCAACCAAAGAATATAATCCATTGCGATGTCCAAATCGCCATGTAGTCCCGTTTCTAGTCACAAAGAAGCTGTTCTCTCTCTTTGTGTCCATAAATACATCAAATCCATCTTGTACCATATTTGACAAACTGTTGACGTTGTCACTAGCTCGTGTGTCAAGCTTACAAACAGAATCAAATACCTTATCAATTCCTTCTCTATAAATTTCTCTTCCCTCCACATTGGAGGCATAATGGAATCCTCCATGAATTCCTTGTAGACTTCCTTCTTTAAAGTCATCTTCATTGGTTTGCAAATGAAAAGTAGATCCACTATCCAAGTGGATACCAGTATTGTTGTGTTGAAATAACATCATCCCTTGTTGTCTTGGATGATTGTCAGTATGTCCTCGTTGAATAAATTGTCCTCCATGGGATCCATTGTTGGAACGTCCATAGTTCCATTGAGTGTTTGAATCTCCCGATTCATTATCATCACGCGTTGCATTATCATCACGTTGCATATTCTGTTGATTACCACGACTATTTGCGTCCGAATAATCCCTATATTTGTCCGGGTTTTTCCACTAATCCTGCGGCTTCAATTTGTCCGCACATTGAGGTGCGACATGATCTTTCGATCCGCATACAAAACACGCTCGAGTTTGTTGTTGTGAAAACTGAGCTCCGTCATTTTGATTGTTTTTGACTTGTTTTGTTTTCCTTGTCCATTTGAATTTCCTCCATTCAAATTCTTCTTCCTGTTATCGTGCTTGTAATGATTCAAAACATCAGCAACCTTTTTTAAAGTAGTTCAAAATGTACAATGTTGTTTGAAATCCAGATGTTTCAACTTGTATTGTGCCATCATTCCATCAATTCTTGATTGATACTTGGCTCTATTGGAATTATACAGAAATCTGTTGGCCATGAATCTTTCCCATGATTCCTTCTTGTGTTGGGATCGTTGAGCATGGCTTCCCAATAAATCTTATTCCTGACTCTTCTCAGTAAATTTGTCCAAAAAATCATCACCAAGCAAAGCTTGTAATGCCTTTGCCCTTTCTTCAAATAGTTTACGAAAACTCGCAATGTTTTCCTTCTCCCTTTGATGGCAATTAATCAGATTGCTCATTGTCTTCCACAGACCAAAATATTCCCATTCTGTATCAACAGTAGTCGTCATAAATTTCTTGATCCGCATCAATAACTCCACAGGATCATTGAATAGTTTGTTTTCAAAGTCAGCTTCTCGCTCAAGCTTGTCCACCATATGATCGGTGCACATCTTCATAATCATTCCATAGACATTGCGTTTATTGTTATCAAACGCATTCTTCCTGGCCTTCCAATCCTTTCGATCAGCCAAATAGTTAGTTCTTCTTTCTTCATTCTTGATCTCCTTATCAGGATCGCTGTCATTAGTCACCAATACCAATGTTGGTTTCACACTTTCAATATCAAACAGACTCAAGGTTTGTACACTCTGAATCATGTCATCAATATGATCCATCTTCATTGTTGACATTTTAATCACCAATGTCTTCTTCACTTCATCAAAGCTAAATTCAGGAATGTTTCCTCTAGTCAGAGGATGAAACTTCTTTTCTTTCTGGCTACCATTGCCACTCTTATTTCCATTGTATTGACCATTACCTTGGCCTTGCTGCAATCTTCCTCGTCCAGCATTTCTTCCATTGGAACCACGTCCAGTATTCTGAAATTGTCCACTCATCATGAGCAAGTTCCTATTCTTTCAAGTCATAGGAATATATCGACTCCCAATTCAATTCAGTGACTTTTTATAATATATGTTAGAAGTAAGCGATCCACTGCTGCCAGCAATCTACCTGTTCAATTGACTGCGATTTAGCTGTCCAGGTATTGTTGCCTTCTAAGTATATGAATTTATAGTATATAGAAGTATATAGATCTATCAGAGATCCTACTTTATCAACCAATTCACTCGTTGCTAGCAATATAGTATAAAAAGTGAGAACAGTCTGTCAACTTTTGACTTTGACTCTTTCTTCTCCAGCTCAGTGGAAATTCTCAGAATTCTCTCTACGTCAGCCTGACATGCTGCAAGTTCAATCTGCTTATCTGATCATCTTCCACTGTAGTGGGTACTTTGATTAGTATCCAACTTTGGTTCTTGCTTGAATCTTGCTTTCTTACATCATCAACATGATGATTTCCATAGAAATAAATTGTCTTTTCTGACTTGCCACACACGATATTTTTAGTCGTATCAGTCTTCATTTTTAGTCGTATCAGTCGACATCATTTCTCTATCGTTCACATGTATTCTCTTTTTCTTGTTTCTCCAAATATGTACTCCGAAAATCCTAATATATCCAACAGGTAGAGGTTCACTCCCGGAATTTTAATCACTTTCATGTGAATTTTCAACATATCCTGTGCTTTGCTGACCGTCTTTGGATAATAATCCACTTCTCTGAAATAGTTTGTCTGAAGATCCAGCATCAGAGGAGCTGTTCTTGTTTGATCGCAGTTGCACAGATATCCTGTTGCAAGAACGGCTTCAAAGATATCATCCTTGAACTTGTTTTGAGCAGCAGTATTGGTGCTAGCAGTAGCAGTATACGCTTTTGTCTTGATGGCAAAATCTCGGAACCAGGCCACGCCATATAGATCTTGCAGGACTTCAGCCTGTCTCAAGAATTGTTCCTTGAAATGCATCAAGTTTTTGGTTGTTCCTTGATTCATAGCAAAGAACTTTTGATTCGCTTCCCAGAAATCCAAGAAATCATACTCAGCATCAGCACTCTTCTTCATGAATCGTTAAATACGTTTCAAGAGTTCGATTGGATCTTCAAGAGTAGTCGTGAAATCGGCTTCACCTCAAAGCTTGATATCCATTGCCTTCGTCACAAACTTCAGCATGATGTTTGATTTGACAGTTCTCTTGTTTGTCTCCAAGTAGGCTGATCTTCGCATGTTCTCGTCGAGCTTTGCAGAATAGAGAATCTTGTTTTGGTCCATCTCTGTTTCTCTTGCAACAGCTTCAGTTTGAGTTGGAGCGTTCAATCTTGGAGCGATCGCATTGAAGTCGATCGACTTTCCATCTCAAATTGATTTCACCATGTCTTTGGAACATTTCATTCCAGAAGCTTGGATATAGTCAATCACTCTTTCTTTGGCATCTTTGTACGACAATCTTGCCTTTCCACCTTTTTCATCTTTTGTTGAAAATAGATGTTTCACAACTGTTGAACTTGAATTACTCTTGACTTTCTGAGGAGTCACACGTCCTCTTCCACCACCGGATGAAGAACATCCCATCGTCAACGAATCACTCACTCCTTTGTAGATAAGGCAGTGCTGTTCTTGACGTAAATTTGTTTTGTTGCCTTTTGTGATTGAATGTTAGAATAAAGCAAAATGTGCTCTATCGTGAGCGCCTTTAGCGCTCAGAACAAACTCTCTGCAATCTAAATTCGTAATTGTCTGTACAACACTTTCACAACAATAGTTCTCCTGTGTCTAGGTAGACTTTGAGTGAAATTGTTCTTATTTGATTAATATTTGGCTTGAATTGATGATTCAATCACAAAAGTAAGTTCCAAAATTTTCCCTTGGAAAATCCCTTGTTTAACAGAACTTGATTCGACCTCTACGACAATTCTGTGTTGAATGCAGTACTTTGGGACATCTGGTATTATTCCCTACTGCACTGTACACAACACCGATATCACACTTGTATAGGGTCATTCCCTTTTTGTGTGGATGTAGATTGTCCGACAGACTTGCGTTCAGCATACTTGCGTCGAATCCCGACATCACGATCAAAGTCCGATCGTACGTGTCAAAAACTTTGTACTTGAATAGTTTCTTTTTGGAATGTAAAAACTCATATTTCGTCATATCCCAACAGTGAACCTCTACCAAGGAAAAGACCAACCTAATAAAGTTAGGTAAAGGAAAAGGAAAGGGGAAACGGAAGGATGAAAAAAAGGCAGCATGTTATGTGTGTGGCAACGAAGACCATATGTCTCCAAAATGCCCAATCAGACTGCTACCAAAGATCCAATGGAAGAATCAGGATCAATATGTAGACCATGGGAAGAAGCTCAATCTTATTCAGATTGGAGCAACTGTCCCAGCAACTGTCCCAGCAACTGTCCCAGCAACTGTCCCAGCTACTGTTCCAGCTATAGTTCCTTGAGCTTCATCATCCACAAGTGGAGCATCAAGTGTTGCAGGAAGCGTTAACACACCTTTGCGACTTGCTGGTACTACAGGTAATCAAATGGTCAAAGTCCACATGGGCCATATTTCTCACACTCCAGATCATATCTTGAGCGTAGTCCAAGCTCTTGCGTGCAATAGCCTCATCTGAAACAGTAGGTATGACCTTTTTAGGAAGAAATTGCCCAAAATTTCCTATGGTCTGCCCTTTTTGCGGCATGCCTTGTCTTTCCCAAAAGTCCCTTGTCCTTTTTTTCACAAGGAGCCCGCTTTTTTTGACACTCCTTTGGGGCAAATGACACACAAGAGTCATTATGACAACCATGAGACATTGGTTGTCAGGTCCTTTTCTTCCAAAAGGTCATCGTTGTCCTGCACATCCAAACATGATGTCCTTTTTTCACAATCCATGGACAAAAAGGCTATTGATCAGCATTTTATCACTCCCCGCACTCCTTCTTATGGCACTTTTTTGTCATGGCAAGCCACCATACTGAACCACAAAGCAAGAGGCCCAAATACGGAGATGTTCCACTACGGTGTCTATGCTGTAAAAGAAACTTCAAGGGGCAATATAGCAACAAACAAGGGAAGCTTACTTCATCAGGTCTTTCACAACATCTTAGGTCAACCGCAAAACCAGGTTTTAAGAAGGACCCCTGCTTTGCCCGGGCTTATAGAAATGAAGTCTGCAAGTCTGTTGATGAGATTGACTTTAAAGACTCCCGTGTGTTCCAAGCTAATCACCATGTCAACCCCCTTCTAGTTGGGGATTCTGTAAGCGATATCACTAGCCCTACTGATATTATGCCAGGCTTTGAACCTGACGGTGGATCAGAAGAAGACACTGCTGCCATGGAAGAAGAAAAGGACGAGACAGAAAAGAAGAAGGGGTCATTTGGAATGCTTCGGGAAGCCACTCTGTTGGCTGATTTTCAGGAGTTTGTTTCAAAGACTCTTTTTGCCCATTATTCTGCTCCAGAAAGCAAGCTTAGCAACCAACAAATCAACAGCCAGACATGCCCATCTAAACTTCCACCTCAAGTATCTCAGGAAGGGCTGAGGAATTACATCCACTCCCGTCTCAACGACAATTTGGATCCTAGTTTTCAAACAGAAGACGATGGAGAATCTGTCAACTTTGAGTATGATGATGACCATGAGGAGGAGGAATCCGCAGAACTTTCCATAGAGTCAGAAGCAAGGAACAATCCAAGTGGGTCCTTTGTAATGGATCTTGATGTAGGATCCCAGTATGGGGCTAACTACCTTCCTAATGATATTACATTGCCAACTATTAATTTTGCAGTTGATGATCCACATGCCCCCCAACCACCTCTTCACAACATCCGCAATCCTGATTCTTCCAACTACCTATTGGACCGACTGAAACAAGAAGAGTACAACCGGTAATTCATGCCACCATCTATCAGCACCCAAATGGAAGCTGACCTTCACCTCCTTTGTCTCGCAAGGAAAACACGGATGGTCAGCCTCCTCTGTTTCTGACATTCAAGCATGGGCCCACAAAGGGACCAAGAAAGAGCCTAATCTTTTTCTGTCCGACCCGACCACTCGGTCTGAATTGTTTACTCAGTTTCGACTGCACTTGGGGGTAGAAAAGACCAATGGTTTCCAGGAACACATGATTGACTGGCTCCCTGACAATCGGCCTACTAGTCTCTTTATCCGCCCATTCTTGGATTGTGTATATGAGCTTCTGACAAACCAAGATGTGACCGGTCCCAACGGTGAGAATATCTCCTTGCCCCATCCAACCAACCCCTTCAAGTTCAGACCAGATCCCCAAGACGAACCCGATTTTGTCAGTGAAATGCATCATGGCACCTGGTGGCGTGACACCATGGAAATGAAGTGTGATGAGGGCAAAAGGGAAATGCTGGTGCCCATCATACTGTATGGGGATGAAATCACCACGGACAAGCAAGGAAAGCTAACAGCCTGTCCCTTCAACTTGACACTTGGAATATTGGACACTGACACCCGAAATAAAGAGCAAGCCCATACCACATTCTTCTACTACCCCGATCCTACTGTGGAGCTTGCTCATCATAAGAAAAAAGCAACCGCACATGACAAAATGGTAAACCTTCAGAACAGCCTTGCAGTGGCACTGGCCGACATCACTAAATGGACCAACAGTGATCAAGGACTACGTTGGAAGCTCAAGTACAATGGAGAAGAATTCCAGGTCAACATGAAATTCTCCGTTGCCTTCCTCATTGGTGATACTGACATGCATGACAAGCTTTGTGGTAAGACAGGTGGTAGCCAAACCCATGGCATGAAGTCTCATTGTCGGCATTGCAATTGTGCAACCAAGGATCTTGTAAGCCCCAAGGAGAAGCATACTTGGATCCTGTTTGATCCCAGCAAGGTAGATCCCACATTGGATGGACACACTGCTGAATACTTTAGCAGTATAAGCCACAGCATTGTGAACAACGCCTTTGATCCCATCTGCTTTGGTGTGAATTTCCCCAAAATTCATTGGGGAACTCCAGCAGAAACACTGCACATGCATCAAAAAGGGGGGATGGTGCGGGTTGTAGAATCGCTTGAAGGCATATAGGCCAAGCTGGTAACAAACCCAATGCTGGAGAAGAAGAGCAGGGTGCTGACACAGATGATGCTGATCCCTCTCTTGCAGCTAAGGCCAAATTTAAAAGGTGGGTGAAGAAAACCTTGGAAAGTCTGGACATCATTGGCCATCAATATGGGGCCTGTCTTGGAAGGCAATCGGAACGCAAGAAGCCCAGGACCAAATTCAATAACTCATTGTTTGACAAGACCAAGAAATGTGGACATGAGCAGGCTGGTGTTTGTTTGTGCTTGTACCTTGCCATGATATCTGACCAGGGCCGATTTATCATGCTCCTGGAGCGTACCATGTATCCCACTTTTTACAAGGATCAGGTGGGTGCCTTTGAGTTAGTCTTGACAATGGAGCAATGGCTGAAGAAGAAAAAGTACCTGGCAAGGCATGCCCTTAACCCAGAAGGACTGGGGAAGGTCTTTGACTATTACACTGATTGGATAAGGGAGACTACCTTTCAAAAAGGCATGGGGGCTCTCTTGATCAAGAATCATCTGATGCTTCACGTCCCCCTCTACATGTTGCACTGGGGGCCTCCTCGTGGATGGGATTCTGGTCCCAGTGAATGGGCTCACAAGACTGAGCAGAAGCAACCAGCACAAAGAACCCAAAGACGGCAGCACAGCTTTGTCAAACAATTGACTGCAAGGTACAGCAAAATGAGACTGATAGCCCTTGCAGCTCGTTTCTTCATGAGGAGCCCCCAGAGAATGAATCTAGATTGGAACCAAGAGCCATTAAAGGATGGGGGAGTTGCCCCTGGTGGTGCCAGGTTTCCTCTAGGGTTCAGCGAAACAGGACCAGGAATGAAGTGGCTTGATGGCAGCAAAACTAAAGCAAACTACCTTCAAGAAGTTATCAATCTTGTCTGTGAGAAGCTGTTGCCTCTTGCAGACAGTGACAAGATCAAGGGTTTCTCTGAGGTCAAGAAGGCAATTGACTCTGAGCCAATTTGTTTCAGGGCCCACCCCAACTACAGATCCAAATCTCGGCAAGTCACTGACACTTGGCATGACTAGGCAAAGTTTGTTGTGCCACATCATGGGGATGCCCACATTCCCGGACAAATCCTAATGTTCATCGGGATGCCCTTCACAAATGATGAGGTGATCCACAATGGGATCCGGCTCCAATCCAAACAAGTGCATGCTGTTGTGAACCTTTTTGTGGATCCGCCACGGCCACCATTTCCCAACTTTGATACTCCAATTGTGAAATGGGGAAAGACAGAGGACACCAACTTCTACATAATCCCATGCAACCGTCTAGTGGCCCCAGCAATTGTCGTGCCCAATCTACTAGAACAGCAGCCTCAAGGGAACGTTGCCAATGCCAATGCAAGGAGAACCTACAAGAAACGCAGAGCCAAATTGATGCAAGAACCTGGAAATGAACCACTTGGAGATGGATATTTTGTTGTGGACAATCAAGAACAAATGGCCCAGAGGATGGAGGAATTGATAGACGACATAATGGAAAGGGATTAGGACACAGTATGCAGTATGATGAATAGGTTTGGCATGCACAATATCTCCTACCTGAAACTGTCCCACATCTATAACTAACTGAAACTGTCCCACATCTAGAACTAAATGCGTTTATCTAATGTTGTTGCGGTTGTTATATCTTCTGGAAAATTCATTGACATCCATATACCGAGATCCAGTGGTGTCCTTTTTGCTTACTTTGGTAGCAGGTGAGGCAGGGGAATGCTCGTCTTCAGGTCTTGTCCTCTTGGTGGGGCTTCTGATCTCTCTCTCTTTCCTAAATTGTTCTAGCTCATCATTGGCATATTTTAGATAGGAAGGAAGCATGTCATTTTTTGCAGTTGATAGTCATTATCTTTCAGCCATTTCCACTTCCCCTTGTATGGCATGCCATATAAATTCAAATCGTTCTCATCATCATAGAACTCTTCTTGTAGCCAGTCATCAATATCTTCGAGAACGTTCCATTGATTGTCCTTGGAACCGCAGATTTTCTGACAAATCTGCCCCTCTTCATTCAAGTCATACAGGGACCAAGAGCTGTTTGGATATACCTCCGGAAAGTGGGAGGGAAATTTCCCCATCTCATTGTCAACATCAGTGCTGTCTGGGTTGGTGTCATCTTCCAATGTTTGTTGTGACAGAGAGATGCACGTATCCAGAACAATACTAGAAATGTCTCTTCTGTAACTTTCCAATCCCATTTGTGTGGAAACAATTTGGAGGATTTTCTTGATATTGTTTCCTTCCAAAGCTACTTCTCTGCTCCCAACCTTCAGCTGGTTGCTTGTTGATGTTGGGAAGAATACATGTTTCAGGTGCTTTCCAGGCTTTATCAATCTCACCGAGATGGCCAATCGAGTGAAATGTAGCAGGTCATCGATTCGAAATGGATGCTTCCAGATCAATTCCATCTGCTGGCATCGTTTTATCATCACATTCTGCAGGAATCCAAGGTTTAGGTCTTCTGGAGACAACCACTGACGACCACCTTCTTTGTTTCCAATGCTGTTGATCCATGCACAGTGCTCAATCAAGAGACCAACCAAGACACAGGTTCTATCTTCTGCCTCGCCTTTGACCAATTGCGGATCTTTGCCAAAGATCTCATCAACACCAGAGTACCTCAACATTGGCCAATCTAGCCACCCTCTCCTTTCGTCGGCGGGTGGCTTCCAAGCACAGCTCTACCATTAGATCCATCTTGTTGAAGGGTCCCTTGGCACATTTTCGCAAACGATCAATGACCGGGGAAAGTTGAATGTAAGGAGAAATGCATGGGCGAACTTTCAGCACGCTCATCAGATGACGATCCTCAATGATGGATCCAAAGTGAAGCTTTGGGACCTGGAGTTCCACAAGATTACCTGGCAAACACTGTGAGAGAAAGTAGTGCTCCATGTTCCCAATTGAAGGAATCTTGTTGTAAGCCAAATGCTTATGGAAGTTCCGAGTTAGATGTCTTTGGACTTCAACAAGCTGACAGGTTGCTGATTTGGCCAACAACTGATTTGAACTGCTAATCCTTTGGGATTCACAGCTAATGAAATTCCGGAAGTAGCAAAGTAATTGGAATAGATACTTCTTTGACGGATCTTCAGCGTTGGCCAGTGTCACACTGAAAGCTGCCGACTTGCTGTATTGGTACTTGCAAGTATCAAATCCAATGTCACCTGTGGGAACGGGATTGGCCAGATCCTTGTGTAGATGATGGTGCGGAAATTCTGATATCAGTTCAGCCGAAGGTGTGACTTTTTTGAATTGGGGAACCATCGAAAACTGAGAATGGGACCAATCTCCAGACTCAATCTGCAGGTCATGCCGAAGCTGCTTTGCATAAGCGGAATCTCGGATCAGGTCGCCTCCTAACAGTGGCATCCCCGCGGCTATTTGCATGCCTTGGCTACAGGCCCACACCATTTTAGTCAAGTCACCAATGACGCTGAGAAACAATTGCCTTCCCACTGGGTTGTCTTTGAAGTACTTATCCAGGGGCTTGAACCCAGTGTGAGGATCCGGGCGATTGTTGCTACCATAGCAAAAGGCCCCCGCCCCCAAGCTAAGTCGCCTTGCAATAGGTGCTCGACTGCAGTCTGCTACCCCACAACACATTAGAGTCTGCACCAAGAATGACCAGTGCTGTTCAACCCGTTTCAACAAATCCCTGTGCTTGATCCATATGGGTGAATCACCCCTAATCGCATGTAGAATATCATTCATGTCAATAAAGGTGGGATACTTTTCCCAATCACCATGTCCGCGGACCCTTGATCACTTTCCATTTCAGCCTTGTCTTCATAGACCTCTCGTTTATGAGGATGGAAAGAGAAATCCATCCCCAAATAAATTTCGCAGGGCGCAAGGTGGAGACGGTAGCTTCTTTGTTGGGTGTGGACAATAAATTTGGAGAATACATCCTCCATTTGCTCAAAGTTGCATACAGCAAGATTGCCAACTTGTGTGTGGGATTTTATGACACTTGTTTGGACTCCAGGATCACCAGCAGCAGTATTGTTGTTGTCATTTTCATCATCATCCTTGTTGGCATCTTCATCATTGTCATCACTGTCATCTTCATCATCATCCTTGTCGCTGTCTACATCATCATCATTGTCATCATCTTCACCATCCTCTACATCACCATCTTCATTGGTGGCATCGTCCTCCTTTTTGTCTTTGCCAGCTGCATCACAATCTTCTCTCGCCTGTTTCTGTTGTCCCATGGTGCCAAACATTAATGAAGTCATTGTTTTCTTGAGAATGTTCTTGCCTTTCCGCTTCATTTCTCTAGGATCAGAGTTGACAGACAGGAAAAAAATCCGGGCAAGAACCAATGACTTCCAGAGCCCCCGTGGTCTTTTCTGGTTCTTTTTCAGTCCGTCTTTGGTGATGGAATAATGCTTGTTCCGCGAAAAGATTTTTGCTGATCTTTCCATTTCCCCCGCCATAATATCCACGGACTCCGAGGGTTTAGTTTGGAGTGCCCACTTTCCAACTTGTTCTGCAAAGGCAGTTGCAGCAGATGGATCATGTGGATCTTTCCAAAATTTGTCAAGCTCTGTCTTGAACTTCTGGATCCGCTCCGGACAGTGATATACAACACCAATGTCCCTCAACAACTTAATAATGTCAGACTTTGTTTTGCATCGGCCGGCCGTCATGTTTTGGCAGTACACCAAAAAGCTTTGCTCGTGCACAGCTCCTAAAGGACCAGCAGTGGGACTGAATACATACTTGATGATCTGAAAGGAAAGCCATGTGATCTCAACCTTTTCCATGGTGTCTTTACGATATTTCTCAACACCAGAAAAGGTGAAGGGCTGGCTGGTAGAGGAGTCCAAACTAGAGCTGGAATCACCATCATCTGTTTCCTCACCTGATTTGTCACTTGGCTCCTGTTCGGATTTGATCAAGTAGCTGCTGCATAGCTTTTTGTCTTTGGATATTGCCTGCAGCTGTTTCTGCATCTCACCAATAGCAGCCGAAAGTGTCTCAACTGGTTCAAAAACAAGATGGAATTTGCAGAAGCCTTGGGATTTGGAAAACAGGAAACCAGAAATTTGATCGTGGTAGAACTTCTCAGTCTTGGCCCCTTTGAAAGCGCTCGTCTTGCGTAAAGCATTCAAGGTATAATGGCAGTCTTGCTGGTAGGTCTTCTTGTTTTTTTTCATTACGTTTTGAAAGAGAGCGTATAAAATCATGGTCTTATCGGTCCATTCCTCCTTGTATTGATCAACGGTTTTGGACACAACCGTTGTCACTTTAGTTAATGGGCAGCTACCTTCTTCTTCATTGAGTTTATCATCCTCATCTTCTTTGGACCAGGATTTATCCGAAGAGTGCTTGTCCTTGGCCTTTATTTTATCGTCGTCATCATTGTCATCATTGTCTTCATCATCATCATCATTGGAGTCATCATCATTGGAGTCTTCTTCCTCTTCCAGAGTGCTGGAGGCTTCATTTTCCTTGTTCTCCTCAGGGGCTTCGCTTCCCTCCACACCCTTGTTGTCCTTGGACTCCAATACCATTGGATGCAATATCATGTATTCTTTAGATGCTTTATCATTTTCAATAATTGTGCAACATTTCCATTGTTGACATGGAAAGGTGTATGCTTCACCTGGAGCGCACCAAAAGTGTAGAAGGTCAACATCAGGTGTCCTCAATTCCCGTCTTGCCACGTTCTCAAACACTAGTAGCATGTGAGTCAGTACCATCTTTGAACTCAAAGACAACGTTTCTTTCCATTCCTGGAATGCTTCAAGACCGTGGGAATGTTCGGAATTGTCTTCACATTTTGGAGCGGCGAAGACAAGGGAAAAGCAACCCTGCAGTGGAACAAAAGTTGCCGAGTGAATTCCAGATAATACTAACAAAGGATGCATTTTGTATAAGACCGGATGTGGGTTTCCTAGTGTAGTCCCGTACCAACATCCGGCAAGGGCCTTGTCGCCATCAAGAGTGGGAGTGTTCATTTTGCTTAAGAGACTGGAAAAGCCCAAGTGGTCCGTCCTTCCGATTTGAAGCTGATAACAATTGGAAATAGCCCATTTGTGGTTTGGGTCCTGTTCAAGGAAGTTTTTAAAGTAGGATTATTGTGGTATTTTGGATTGTCCATTTTGTCACCAGGATTATAGACGACCGGCATGAAAAGGAGACTACAAACGCTGTCAGACTTATTCCTATTTTCATTGAAACTCTTGGAAACCGATATTCTGACACGAGAATTGTTGCTGATGAGTCTGGCAGCACCTTTGGCAACTCCATATTCAAATTTGGAGATATAGAAAGATGGTTGTGGGATGTAGATAGATGGTTGTGGGATGTTTGGAGCCGACATGATGTTGCTATGCAATTTGAATTTTCAAATCGGTCTTGGATTGTACAAAAAATCTGGTACTGGGGCAGCGTAGCAGCCCTACAATACTAGGCTGAAGGAGGAAAGTGCAAAAAGTTGGATACCGCTTGAGGATTGGCACGTCAAAATGTACATAAAATAAAGTACTAGAATTTGTCATGACGGGCTCGCTGCGTCAAGACCAAAACCAACAAACACAGAAACTGTTTTCAAAACCGGAGGAAACAGCAATGGATTCCTAGTGCAATGGATAGGAAGGAATCACTGTGCCCAACAAACAACAAACAGTATGATGATTGGCTTCAGAAGGTGATGAGCAAGGTTGCTCTTTGAAAGGACGACTGGAGATTGAAATCAATTGACGTCGAATACCATTGCTGTGGTCAGATGTGTTTGTTGTGTTGGTGCAGCGCCGGCCGATTTTGAGTTATGATGGTACAAAATTGTACAGAAAAAACCCGTACCAACCTTGGTATGCTCACAGAACATCACCGGCCTGTACATTTGCCAGGATATGCAAGGACTGCTACTGCGGTTTTTGGTACTTCTCCACGTACTGGCAGTCTGAGAAGTCAGCCACCCATGGAACATCTTCAATGATCAAAAAGAACGGTTTTTATTCCGTGCTGGTGGAGGAGGAAACAATCAACAAACAAATGCGTCTAAACTACCTATTGAAATGATGTTCAAGCACCTCTGAGCCAATTACAATTTCTATGCTTTCGTATCGCAGAGTGAATCCAAAATTGGGGGCTTATTGCACCGCGATTTTTGATGTCTCAAATACTTCCAAGATCCGAAGCATGAAAGTTCTGTCAGAAGTGACGGCAGCTGGTCTTGTGTCAACAACAAACCATTTGTGTCAACAACAAACCATTTGGAAGCAAGGTGAATCAAGGCATGAAAGCGAACGTAATTCTTAGGAGTTGATATTATTGCTATGATAATGATGAAACGCTTACTTATATTATCTGTCAAATCCAACACAGCTGGATTCGACAGATAATATATGGCGTCCTCAATTGACTCAATATTTTGGGGACCAAGAAAGATGAGTAATGGCCAACACAAGGCTAGATTTAAACATAAAGAGACTACGTGTGTATTCAACGATTGAAGGCATGCAATAATCCACCGGTTTCAAGTAAGACTCACAAGAGAAAAGATTGGCAGAAACCTTTTTTGCGTTCCGTGACGGCCGACGCCACGATAGGAAAATCTGTGACAGGAGTATGATTGGATTCTTAGATTGCATATTCTGCTTGAGCGAGAATACAATCCGCCTTGATGCAAGCATTGGAGACAATGGCTTGGTTCCAAAGGTGAAGAGACTAGTACGGTATCAGCAAAAGCAGTTGATTTCTTTTTTTTTTAGAGGCATTCTGCCTTCAGCAAAGACTGAACAATACTCAACACAATAAGATTAAAAATCAATGTCTACCATTTGATGTATCCGTCAACTCATGTAGAAGTAGTCAATTTCGGTTTGCCAATCTACAATCCCATTCTTAAGGCCAGCTAGAAGTGATCCTATGGGATCTACAGGGCTTCCTTGTGATTGAGCGCTAAGGTTGGCCATTAAAACAATGTGTCTAGTTGTTTGATATGGAACGTCTCTGACGTACTCTCTACAGACCGTTGGTTATCCGGCCAGACCTCCAACGTACTTCCAGCAGACGTTACATCTTACGCTCTTTTTAACAGACGCTTTTGTTATACTCCTATCGGTTACTCAATATTCCAGGCCTAACTATTATTGGCCCTCCTAAGTACTTTGATCGTTACTGAATATTTCAGCACTGTTACTGAATATTTTGGACCAAAGCTTGGCCAAACCAAGACTAGATAGCGCACCTAAAACCACTATTCTAATGCTCACAATTTCATTATCAACTGATATCAAACCCCTTTGATCTAGGTTAAGTCATAGTGAATTCACTTTGCGAAGATCTATTGATCATCCCTTTTACAGTCCACGAATTAAACCAAACTTACTCAACATCTTGAAAGTTATCATCAACGGTACTTCCTTGGACCAGAACCCAAAGCACGATGCTCCAATTCCTCTTTAAAAGGAAGTATCCAAATGGGACCATGACGCCGAAGCCAAAATCAAACAAAAGATCCGACGCAACCCTCAAAACGCAACACGAACCTACAAAAAGGAACTCACACCTTGGGATGGTGATACAGTAGAAGACTACTGTCAATTCAGATTTACTTGGAACGAACTTGAAGTCGGACAAGCCCTGAATGCTCCTGGAAAACACCACACGATTCTATCTATTCTCTCCGGTCAAGCAAAGGAGAATTGGCAAACAGCGGTCTCTCAACTTCCAGACAATCAGCAAACGACCCAACAGGGTTTCGACACAGCTATGGAAAGTTTTGCCCTCTGCTACTGCACTTCGGATGCTCGTCAGAAGCAACGTCGCTTCATCAACAAAGCTTTGAGATTGCCCAAGAATATGTCGATCCGAGTCTTCTGGAACAGACTACTTTTCATGTTCCGATGCTACCAACATCTCCCTGGAACTGGTACAACACCAACACCAGAACATCGACGTGAAATCTTGATCCAATGTCTACCTACAAGTGTCGAGAATGATATGACGAGAGGTGACTACCGTTGGGACGATCCTAACAAAACAGACATCGATCTTATCAACTATTTGACTCGTCTCCAAACAATTGGTTTCTCGGAAACAAGGTCCATTCCAACAAAAACAACAGTTACGAAGAAAAAGCCGGAACACAGCAATTTCAAAAAAGACCGTAAAAACGGCCCAAACAAAAAGAAAATTTGTGACTACTGCACCAAGAAGAAAGGTTTCACATTCTATGGTCACACGGAAGACCAATGCAACAACAAGAAGAAAGATCTTGCTAACAACAAAGAAGAAAAACACAACATTGAGCCGATGGATGTAGAAAACGAGAACGCCGTGACTACTCATTTCGGCTTTTCTATGTCGAAGAAAGAAATCTCCAAAAAAAAGTTCAACGAAGGCGATTCCAACGCTAAGGAAATGGCCTCACTATGTGACGAAGAGCTCACCGAGTTCCTAAATATCGACGACAACGACGACGACGACGTTAAACTAGTTATGGAAAAACCGATTCCTAAAAAGAAACGAAATCCTAAGTCTCCTAAGAAGACCAAGAAGGACGCAAAGGAACAAGCCCTTGCCAAGGCTGACAACGTAAGTCAACTGTTCGCAATTTTAAATGCCAAAACAAGAAATCCAAAACTCACTGACAACCGCTCTATCTCCGATCTTACTACGACAGTAAAGGTCACAATTAAGAGTAGTGAGAGTAACAAAATTAAAGTGTTACATGTATTGATTCTTGACACTGGCTGCTCCAAAACAATCATCAAACAAAATGTCATTCCAGACTCAATGTATAGCAAAAATCATGTAGCAAAAGAGACAATTTGGTCGACCAACGCTGGTACTTTTACAACCAAGTCTAAACGTAACGTCACATTCTGTATTCCAGAGTTCACCTCAAGTCGTGAAATAACCTTCCCAATGCATGTGGACGAAAGTTCATACTCTAGCTACGACATGATCATTGGACGTGATCTACAAAACTCACTAGGCATTGACATCCTTTGGTCCAAACAATCGCTAATGTGGGACGGAATCTCAGTTCCCATGAAAGGTTACACAGAACGTTCTGATGAAAGTGAAGACAAACTTCAAAACATGTTTGAAGAGATCATGGAAATAGAACAAGAAGAAGAACTATTTGGCGCGTCTAAACTTCTGGACGCTAAATACGAAAAGGCAGATATTAACGCGGACGTTGAACAAATGAATCATTTATCAGCGCACGAGAAAACCGCGTTGAAAAGTTTGCTCTATAAATATGAAGAATTATTTGACGGCACTTTAGGCACGTGGAACATTCCGCCAGTTGACTTCAAACTGAAACCAGGAAGTAAACCATTCCACGCAAAACCTATGCCGATTCCACTCATACATAGAGACACGATCCGCAAAGAAATTGATCGTTTAGTTCGCATTGGCGTTCTCAAGAAGGACACGTCCAGCGAATGGAGCGCTCCTTCATTTATTGTCCCCAAAGCAAACGGACAATGCCGTCTTGTCACGGACTTTCAAGTCTTAAACTCAATGCTCCAAAAACGAGTATACCCACTTCCGAAAATTTCCGATTTACTTACGGATATCAGCGGATTTACTTATGCCTCCGCCATTGACTTGAACATGGGATATTGGAACGTCCGTATTACTCCCGAGTCATCTAAGCTCTGTACTATCATCTTACCCTGGGGCAAATATAGTTACCAAAAACTGCCCATGGGCGCAATGCCCTCAGCTTACATTTTTCAAGAAGCTATGAATCGCCTCATGGAAGGCCTCGGCGACGTCTTATCGTACTTAGACGACGTCCTCTGTGTCACCAAAGGTGACTTCGAAGACCACCTTCAACGGCTAGAAATATGTCTCCAACGGCTCCACAAAGCCGGCCTTAAGGTTAATTTACCCAAATCTGAGTTCGCAACTCAACAATTCAAATACTTAGGCTACTTGGTTTCACGCCAAGGCATTCGCCCTCTTGCTTTGAAAGTGGAAGCGATTCAGCGGTTGAAACCCCCAAAAACTTTGAAACAATTACGCTCATTCCTTGGCATGCTCAATTATTACTGTGATATGTGGGAAAAGCGCTCACATATGTTAGCTCCATTTACTGAACTAATCAAATCAAGCAAAAAAGGACGTCCATTAATATGGAAACTAGAACACACAGAAGCGTTCGAACATGTGAAACGAGTGATTGCAAAAGACACTATGCTTGCATTCCCTGATTTCTCCAAACCTTTCACAATACACACTGATGCTAGCGACTTCCAGCTTGGTGGAGTGATTTCCCAAGAAGGAAAACCTATTGCTTTCTATAGCAGAAAATTAAATCCTGCGCAAAGAAACTACACAATGGGAGAACGCGAAATGTTGTCAATCGTTGAAACATTACGCGAATACCGCAACATCTTGCTTGGTCGCGAAATTATAGGATATACCAACCACAAAAATCATACAGACCCAAAAACCATTTCTCAATCCCCAAGAATCCAACGATGGAGATGGATCATTGAAGAATTCGGGCCAGACATAAGACATATCGATGGATCTGCCAATGCGGTCGCCGATTGCTTAAGTCGTATGGACGCAGACTTCACGACGAAATATGACGAATTCGACGAAGTCCAACTAGCTGAAAGGTTCGACATGGACTCGCTGGAAGGTTATAAGGCGGAGAAATATCAATTCCCCCTCGACACCGGTCTAATCGCAGAGTATCAAAAGAAAGATAAAACTCTAATGCGACATTTACAAAACCATCCAGAATACTTTTCCAAAGAGGTGCATGGCACCGAAATAATCTTATTCCACAAAAAGATTTATGTTCCTAAGCCACTACGACAGCATGTTCTACAGTGGTATCATGACATGTTACAGCACCCTGGCGTAACACGAACTGAGCGAACCATTCGCCAACACCTAACTTGGCCAGGTCTACGACACGACGTCGAGACTCACGTGAAGCATTGCCGCAAATGCCAACTATGTAAAAATCCAAAACTTAAATACGGCAAACTGCCAGTAAAAGAATTTACCTATAAGCCTTGGAACACCATTTGTGTCGATCTTATCGGTCCTTACACAGTATCTACAAAAGACGGAAAAGATATCAAACTACACGCCATGACGATTTGTGATCCAGCGACTGGATGGTTCGAAATTGTAGAAATTGATGACAAAAAGTCACTTACTACATCAACAATGCTCGACCGCGTATGGTTCTCACGATATCCAAGACCTCAAGAATGAATTTTCAACAATGGTAAAGAATTCCTTGGCAAAGAATTCCAAGGACTACTAAAAAGTTATGGAATCAAACCGGTCCCTACAACAGTCAAGAACCCTCAAGCTAATTATGTGGAACGGATCCACCAAACGCTCGGAAACATGCTCCGTACAAACAAATTAGAGGAATTTGACTTCGATTATAATGATCCTTGGACCCAAATCTTAAGCAACTGCGCTTGGGCTATTCGCTCCACTATCCACACTGTCATGGAAGCGACACCCGCTCAACTAGTCTTCGGTCGTGATATGCTTTTCGACCTCTCATTTAAAACAAAATGGCGCGATATTAAAAGCAAACGTCAACAAGCCGCAAATAAGAATAACACGCGAGAAACTCCAAACGCCAGCCACATATATACCGTGTGGGTGATTTGGTCCTCCTTGATTGCGGCGAATTGCAACAAAAACTCCTGCCCAAACGAACAGGTCCATATCAAGTACTCCGTGTCTAAGACAATGGCACAATCAAACTCCGACGTGGCTTCTATGCACAACGCGTAAGTCTCCGACGATGCGTTCCTTACTACACCCCCATCAACGCTTGATTCCGCCATGGAAGCGAATGACGTACTCTCTACAGACCGTTGGTCATCCGGCCAGACCTCCAACGTACTTCCAGCAGACGTTACATCTTACGCTCTTTTTAACAGACGCTTTTGTTATACTCTTATTGGTTACTCAATATTCCAGGCCTAACTATTATTGGCCCTCCTAAGTACTTTGATCGTTACTGAATATTTCAGCACTGTTACTGAATATTTTGGACCAAAGCTTGGCCAAACCAAGACTAGATAGCGCACCTAAAACCACTATTCTAATGCTCACAATTTCATTATCAACTGATATCAAACCCCTTTGATCTAGTTAAGTCAGTTTCGAACATAGGGGCCAAATCCAACTAACAAAGTACCATTTTGTGCGCCATAATTTTTTGCAGTACATTTTGGTACATTTTATACAGCACTCTACATTAAATTTCACTGGCACAGATAATTCTGTAGATACATACCATGTTTCTACTGCTAGTAGCCTTTCTGTAGCCTGGAACATGAAAGGGGTCTTACTTCGTTTGGAACATGAACATCTCACAATTGAAAAAGCAAAAGGCTAACTCTTTAAAAGGACAATGCCTCATAGCAGCGGTGAGAAGAGAGGTAGCTCATCTTCATCCAATGACCATGAGAATGAGAATCAAAAGAGGCAGAGGTTAAAAGGCAAGTCCATCAGATTCCAATGCCGTGTTTCATCCCCACCTTTTCTAACATGGTTGTCTTTTTGCTAGAGGCAGCATTGGCCCGCAAACAGGCGGAGGCAGAAAGAGAAATGCAGTCCACACCAGAGAGACCACTGGCAACCAATACTACGGTAACCCCCCCTTCTGTACCTACAGAAGAGTACAACCCAGCAGGAGTTGACTCCCAACTTCGGAAGAGTGCAGGGATACGTAAAGCACTGCAAGACGAACAAGAGGCTGACGCTGGAGCTGATGCTGGAGCTGGAGCTGATGCCATGGAGCAAGAAGCTGATGCAGGGGAAACTACTGTACCATGTCCAGAGCCTCCAGCACCTCAAGCACCCAGTAGGGCAACCGCTGACCCTCAGTACTTGCCCAAGGAAGAGCAGCTAGAGATACTGAGAAGGAGTGCCACTAAGGAGATGATCCAAATGAATTTGAACAAGTTTGTTTTTCCTAATGCAAAGTTCCCACTATCTGAATTGCACAACAAGGCTGTATGCAAGTTGGCCGTAGGGTCAGAGGTGGTGAGGTTAGACCAAGGGGTGGACCCAGAAGTATTTGCGGAAGAGTACCACAAGAGTGTGAAAGAACGGATGGCGGCATTGCGACTGAATTGTCACAATGCTGCAAGATCAAAGTTTCTAAGTAAGTGATTTCAATTTTTTGATATTTGGAAGAAGTCTCCTGTTGGTGTCTGACCCTCGTTTCTGCAAATTCCATTTACTACGAGATGACCTGAAGATTGGCAAAGTCCCATCTGATAGCTTGGTGGTTGATCATCTGGAAAAGAACACTGATGCAGCTGTTGGATACAGGAGTTGTGGCCAAGGATATCAAGACTACCTGACAAAGGATGGCACAAAAGTTTTGCAAGCAAGGACGGGGCAGTGCCAATCCTTTCATTACCTAGTGAAACGGATCATGCCATCAATCAATTGCACAAACACCAAATTTGATGTGCGGAAGCGGGAGGAGACAATCAGCAACATCTTCACCGTGAGTGACGAGGCATTTGCCCTGGTGCTACTTGAGAACTATGAGAGTTGTTGGAGGAAACAGCATGAGGATCCCAAATCAACAAGACTCCGAGGTAAGGAACCTGCTGCTATAAGCAAGGAGTTCAATGCCAAATTCACATCAAGTGACGATGGCTTGAAGCTGAAGTCATCTGGTTGGAGTCGACAGGGAATTGAAAGCTACAACGAGAAGTTGAGTTCAATTGGTAAGTTAAGAAGGCAATCCCGCACAGGGGCAGCCCTAGAAGAGTACAAACTGTGGAAGATGCGCGGTGGAGCAGACATTTATGTAAAGGGCACAGTGCCTCCTACTGCAAACGAGAGACAGATACCTATTGCTGAAGGATCGCTGGCTGTCCTTCCGGAAGCATTGGAAAGTATGTTTGCAGAGGTCTAGCCTCGTCAATAGATTGTCATTAAATCGTCAAATAAAGCAAATGTGTTTGTGATATAATCAAAAGGATCTTTCCAATACATTCATAATCTGTATGCCCTTTAATCACCATTGACTGTTCTTCAGAAGGCAAGGAAACTCTGTTTTGTAGGTCATTGTAGTTGTCATAAATTGACAAGGATCTGGTCCTTTTAAGGCGTTGGCCATTTGATGAGATGACATGGACAATGAGAAAGAGGAAGCCATCGGATGGCTCTAAATCAAATGGGTCCACTTCAAAAGGTCTTTCCGATGTCCTTAAAAGACAAATCCGGTGGGTGGAAAATCAAAAATGCATATGATCGAAATCACGGTCAGACGGCTTCACATCCCAAGGTTCTACAACAAAATCAAATGGGAACTTTCCAAAAATGAGAAGGTTCTTTTCCTCAAAAAGACAATTTCCTTGTCATAAAAAGGACAAGGGGTTCTCATCTATCACATAGGCTTCACATGGGGTGGTGATAAAAAACACGGTGTCCTTGTCCTTTTTACCCAATTAAACTGTCAATTAAGGGAATTTCGCTATAGCATTAAGAGGGAAGTACTGGACAATATAGGACAAGTTCCATGACACCCAAAAGCACCAGGCAACTGTTTCAGATGGAGTCAGAGTAGCTCTTGCACAATTACCCTACAAAGTGGTCCCAAAAGTGATCACTGAATGTCTTGGACGTCAAGCCGCCAAGCTATTGAATGTCTTTCCCCAGAAAGACAGTATCTGTTAGAATAAAGCAAAATGTGCTCTATCATGAGTGCCTTTAGCACTCAGAAAAAACTCTCTGCAATCTAAATTTGTAATCAACTGTACAACACTTTCACGACAATAGTTCTCCTGTGTCTAGGTATACTTTAAGTGAAATTGTTCCTATTTGATTAATATTTGGCTTGAATTGATGATTCAATCACAAAAAGAAAGTTCAACAATTTTCCCTTGGAAAATCCCTTGTTCACAGAACTTGATTCAACTTCTACAAGGATTCTGTTTTGAATGCAGTACTTTGGGACATCTTGTACTATTCCCTACTGCATTGTACACAACATCGACATCGCACTTGTATAGGGTCATTCCCTTTTTGTGTGGACATAGATTGTCCAACAGACTTGTGTCCGGCATACTTGCGTCAAATCCCAACATCACGATCAAAGTCCGATCGCACGTGTTGAAAACTTCATACTTGAATAGTTTCTTTTTGGAACATAAAAACTCATATTTTGTCATATCCCAACACACTCCTGCCGTCCGAGAATATTTCATAAGCAATCTCTTGGCTTGTGTGCGTTGTTAGAATAAAGCAAAATGTGCTCTATCATGAGTGCCTTTAGCACTCAGAACAAACTCTCTGCAATCTAAATTTGTAATCGACTGTACAACACTTTCACGACAATAGTTCTCCTGTGTTTAGGTATACTTCAAGTGAAATTGTTCCTATTTGATTAATATTTGGCTTGAATTGATGATTCAATCACAAAAGTAAGTTCAACAATTTTCCCTTGGAAAATCCCTTGTTCACAGAACTTGATTCGACTTCTACAAGGATTCTGTGTTGAGTGCAGTACTTTGGGACATCTTGTAACAGTGCCGCCACCTTGAGTTGGAATCTGCATGAGCTGCATTCCAGAAGGAACTTGCATCATTTGATTACCTGTAGTACCAGCAAGTCGCAAAGGTGTGTTAACGCTTCCCGCAACACTTGATGCTCCACTTGTGGAAGCTGAAGCCCCAGGAACTATAGCTGGAACAGTAGCTAGGACAGTTGCTCCAATCTGATTAAGATTGAGCTTCTTCCCATAATCAACATATTGGTCCTGATTCTTCCATTGGGTCTTTGGTAGCAGTCTGTCTGGGCATTTTGGAGACATATGATCTTCGTTGCCACATACATAACATGCTGCCTTCTTTCCATCCTTCGGTTTCCCCTTTCCTTTTCCTT